ATGGGTAACCATGGTAACCATAGGTAATCAAGGCAATTTTTCAATCTAGTCATGTTCCCTCATTCCGTGATAAAAACCTATTTACGATAGACAGCGAGCGGAATCAATGATTAGGGACCATTCAAGTCGAAAACAATAAGAACTCGGATCCGCTGGACATGCATTGACTTACTGTGATTATGTAATTGATCACTGTACCCTGTGTACTGAGGAAATATNCATGATTCATTTTAAATCCCACTAGTCTTCTCTTTTCTCTCTCCTTTGCACCTCACATCTCTCTCCTCGATGACAGTCTGATACAAGTTTGAAGTCACTGAGCAATACAGACATCTTCGAACCGTTCCGATTTGTCAGTACCACACCAAAATGGTTTCCGTCTGATGTTCGACTCACCCTATCTAGCCCGGATGTAGTGAATGTTGTGCTCGAAACCAGTCTGGGTCAGCCGAATCCGCTGGGCAGTCGTCCGGGTCCGCAACGTTTGTTCGTTCAGATTCCCTGGTTCTTCGAACCGAAATCCCTGTTGCTTGCCGGCGCATTCAGTCGGGATACACAATTCTTCTAGCCCGAACCGGTCAATGCTCCGTCACCCATTCACCGTGCTTTCCCCATCCACATTTGCTCTTGTTCCGATTCGCATCCAATCACGTGTACTGATCTTGACACGATACAATTGTCTTTCCTTGAGTTCTTTCGTCTTTAAGAGATGGATGACTTGCCTTCTTGTCTGTCGTTCTGTTTTGCGCGCGCACACATTCGGGTATATCTCACATTGCTCTCCAACTCCCAGACTGGGATTGGTTTCGAACCGCATTCTCTATGCTAACTGATCGCTCACTGTACAAATAAATATATGGTTTTGTAGATGTACAGAGCTTCTGAGTGATGCTGGAAGAGAGATTTATCTTGGATATTACTGGATTTTTGAATCTTTACATACCATTTTGTGCTGAACAAATGTGAATATCGTTGTCTTAAGAACCTACTGTTTAACCTTGATTACTGTCGACTTAAGCGCTGGGGCTTGGGACGGCGAACTATGTAATGATTCGACTGGATAGATAGTTGGATTGACTCGAATGGCGAAAACTGTCCACTCTCATAGTTTGGTGGTAGTGGTGGTGGCAGGGTTGAAGCCCCGAATCTTAGACACCAAGTTCTTTAAAACCTGGGTTTCCATCAATCATAAACTAGTTTACGCTTTCAGCGAATCGAACCCCCGGCGGTTCATCTTTGATCACCACAATTTCGATTTTGTTTCAAACGGTGGTGGTCACACAGATAGCTTGATTTGAGTAAAAAAGTTAGGAGGGAGGGGAAAGATGAAGTTAAATCAGCAGCTGCAGGATTTCGTACTTGCGTACAACAATGCTGGGTTTATCAGGGGAGATACTCTGTTTTGCAATCGAGTGTCGAAGCATAGTGCTGGAGGACGAGCGCTTCACAAGTTCTATTGAATACCTTCGGGAAGGGTATTGTGATCTGCGCGAAATGTTAACAAGGCATTGAGATTCGTCCAACCTCACGGTCGCTGGGATTCTAGGATTTCATGAACCGACTAGCTTTCCCAGTTGGGTGATTTCATTCACCGAGCATAGCGCCACGAATTTTTCATACTTGGTATCATGGTGGTGAACAAATGCCGCACACAAGGGAGAATGGCAAGAGACAAGTCCGTTTATCGTAGATCTCTATGAACTTGTGGTTAGACAATCTTTACCCTCTACTCAGCGATGAAATGTGCAGGCAACTATGTCTACATTTCAGTCAAAAAATGTGTTCACCAGTTACAGTATGATAAAAATTAAAACGCCGGATACAATAGTCATAAAATGAAATCGGATATGTTTCAGTTTCAGTTTTTACAACCATTAACCATGCACTTTCGTGCACCGGTTTTGGTTGCCCGTTTGGATAAAAGAGTAGAATGTAGACTGCAATGTCGAAGCAAATTCAAGCGGAAGTTGGGGAATTCATATAGAGTGGTGTTAGGAGAATAACGAGTGGATGCACGAACGCCACTGTTTGCGACACCCAGCCATANCCCGGGGTCGCCAGCCAGGGAGCCTAACGGGGCCTATGTGACCTAGTCTCTTAGTTAGGGTTTTCATACCCTCATGCCCGGTCTTAGTTTGACCACCCTTTATCTTTTTCCCATCGCTACCAGCCTTGGCAAACATCGTTCGCTGCGGCAACCTATCTGGCG